TAACGTTATGAAAGTATTCCCTAGATTTAATAACCACGTCTTACAAACACTTAGTAGTCAATCATAACCATTGTATAGTCTAGCATATAGTTGCACAGAGAAATGAAGTTAACAAGCTTAATACCGAATGAGTTCATATTATAGCAGTATTAATGATAATGAGAACGACTAAACATTAGAAATATGGTTCTAAAGAGTATAAAGACAGAATATGAGTCAGTCACAACGTAGAACCTGATACATATGTACATCGTTTCAAGTCTCCATAAACCACTAGCGCAAAGATGAAATTGTCGGGCCAAATCTCAAAAAAGTAGAGGTAGTAACAGTACCAGTGGTAATAGGAAGGATTTGGGACTGGAGATACGACTCGAGAAAATAGAAATTAGTGAAATAAAGAAGAGGAAATTTAGAATCTCAGAATTTCGGGGAAGACAAAGAGTGGATGTATTTGCGTCACTGCAAACGGTCGTGAGCTATGTCATCCAAAGTGTCTAACCACTGATCACGATAATCAAGCCAAAGGGAAACTTAAATTCAAGATTTAGAGGAAGATAAACAGTAAGTGCATTTGGGCTAGTGTGACTGGTCCTCAACTGTTACTCGACATCTACAATTGATGATTGCGGCTATCTCGTGAAACTCGACCAGGTAGTCTGAACTTACCAACAGTTAATTATTTCATGAATTGATGCCAAGTCTTGGTTTAGGCGTCCCTATGTTTATTACAACCGACTCACAACTTGGCGATGCCCAGAATAAGTGAAGCACATTTGACCCAAGCTGAACAGATAAGCCTAGACACGGGAGAGATGCTGCTGCACTCCGGTCACGAAGAGGTAATAGCTCCACACATTGAAGGAGTTGCTCTGATGTTGTGCAAAGAAGCAAGAAATCCACCTGTACGATGGGAATCTCATGAATCCAGGATCACCAAAGCATCCTTCTAAAAAGGAATGGGATCACTATGAGTGAAATCCAGTGTTGTGCACCCACCAAAGAAAGCAACGACAACAATAAAGATCAGTTCTATGAGAGGCTACAATCAATCATAGCTAAGTGCTCAGGAAAAGACCTGACCATCCTAATGGGAAACCTAAACGCCAAAGTCGGAATGGACAACACTGGATATAAAGATATCACGGGATGACATGGACTGTGGGAAAGCAACAAAAATGGTGAGACATTTGCAAATTTATGTGAATTTCAAAATCGTTATAGGCGGCACAATATTACGAAACAAACACATACACACAGCTACATGATCCACACCGGATCACGCCACGGAGAACCAGATTGATCATATTTGCTTCACTCAAAAATTCAGAGGGACAATGGAACACGTGGGAACCAGGAGAGGAGCTGACGCAGCTTCAGATCACCACCTAGTTGTGGCCAAGATGAAACCGAAACTAAAGAAACCCTGGACAGCTGGAGAAACAGCAGTACAAAGGTTCAATACAACCTTCCTTTGACATACTGACAAACTAACAAATTCAAGATCATTCTCAACAATTGGTTCCAAGCCCTACAAGATCTACTCAAATAATGAGAAGAAACTACTGTGGAGAACAACTGCGAAGGGATCAAAGAAGCATTAACTTCAACGTGTCAGGAGGTTCTGAGCCGAAAGAAGCATCATCATAAGTAATGGATCTTTTTGGAAACCCTAGACAAGATTCAGGTAAGGAAGAACAAAAAGACTGCAATAAACAACAGCCGAATAAGAGCAGAGAAAGTCAAGGCACAAGCTGAATGCACAAGAGCAAACAAGCAAGTGAAGAGGAGCATTAGGGCCGACAAGCGGAAATATGTGGGAGACCTAACAACGACAGCGGAAAAAGCTGCAAGAGAAGGGAATATGACACGGCCATATGGCACAACGAAGAAACTAGCAGGGAAATTTAGTAAACCAGAGAGACCAGTCAAGGACAAAGAAGAAAAACAAATCACCGAGATTCAAGAACAGACGGGTGGAATACTTCGAGGAACTCTTGAATAGACCAGCCCCACTGAACCCTCCGGACATGGAAGCAGCACACACAGACATTCCCATAGATGTCACTCCACCAATGACGGAAGAAATCAGCATGGCCATCAGACAAATCAAAGAGTGAGAAAGCAGTAGGACCTAACAACATGCCGACTGAAGCAATGAATTCAGACATGCAAGTAACTGCAAGCATGCTCCACGTTCTATTTAGAAAGATTTGGGAGGACGAACATGTACCGATAGACTGGAGGGAAGGACATCTCATCATAATACCAAAGAAAGGAGATCTGAGCAAATGTTAAAACTATAGAGATATCACACTACTATCTGTACCAGGAAAAGTTTTTAACAGAGTATTGCTCAGCCGGATGAAAGATTCAGTAGACGACCAGTGTGGGGATCAACAGGTCGGATTGCGTAAGGATCGACCGTGAACAGACCAAATCGCGACACCATGGATCATCGTTGAACAGTCATTGGCTATGAGAAACAATTTGACAGCGTGGATAGGAGGACTTTGTGGAAACTTCTTCGACACTATGGTGTACCTGAGAAGATCGTCAACATCATCCAAAATTCATACGACAGACCACAGTGCAAAGTTGTGCATGGTGGACAGCTGAAAGACGCATTCCAATAGAGGACCTGTGTCAGACAAGGCTGCTTACTCTCTCTTCCTCTTTCTTCTGGTGGTCGATTGGGTTATGAAGACCTCGACATCTGAGGGAAAGCATGCAATACAATGGACATCTCAGAATCACCTAGAAGATCTGGACTTAGTAGATGACCGGGCCCTTCTATCCCATACACACCAACAAATTCAGATAAAGACAGCTAGTGTAACAGCAGCCTCTGCATCAGTAGGCCTCAGCATACACAAGGGAAAAAGTAAGATCCTCAAATACAGCACGGAAAACACCAACACAATCACACTTGATGGAAAAGATCTAGAAGATGTGGAATCTTTCACGTACCTGAGAATCACCGTCCATGAACAAGGAGGATCGGATGAAGACGTAAAGGCGAGAAATGGCAAATCAAGAACAGCATTCCTACAGTTGAAGAAAATATGTAACTCAAAACAACTGCCAACCAATATCAAAGGCAGAATCTTCAATACGAATATCAAGACAGTTCTACTGAACGGAGTTGAAATTCGGAGAACTATTGCAGCTGTCATCGAAAGGGCACAAGTACTTATAAACAATTATTTGCGCAAGATACTCAATATTCGTTGGCCAGAAACCATCAGCAACAGCCTACTGTGGCAGAGAACAAACCAGCCTCCACCTGAAAAAGAGATTAGGAAAAGATGTTGGAAGTGGATAGGACACATGTTGCGGAAAACATCAGATTGCATTACGAAGCAAGTGCTCACTTGGAATTCTGAAGGGAAACGGAAACGAGGAAGGCCAGAGAACACACTGCGCCGGAATTGGTAGCAGACATCAACGAAATGAACAGCGATAGGAAAGAATCGGAATGGATGGTCCAGAACAGAGTTGGATGGAGAGTGTTGGTTGGCGGCCTATGCTCCTCCTAGAGGGATAACGGACGTAGGTAGGCTTATTATTCACTATTAGGCGACAGACTGTTTGGCAATTTACAATTCTAATTTTGAATTAATTTCTTGCTTCTATACTAAACAATGTTAGTAATAAGAAAGATCATCTACTTTTCAATAATAGGAAGTTATCCAGAGCTATGTTCACAACACCGACATTTGTTAACAATGAAAAGGATATTCCAGCCTGCAGTAATAAGGTTTCGGATACGATCAACGTTAATCATATCAGTAACATGTCAGCTAATAATTAATGACCTCAACTATATTCAAATCAATAAATGTGATTTTCATGACAATCAGCACTTACGTATATACTGCACAAGTAGTTCACCACCACCGCCCAAATTTCATGGAAAAGGAGAAACCGAGCTCTCACAAAATTATTTAAAAAATAAGATAGTAGTACAGATAAACATACCTAAGTCAAGTGAAACATCAAGGACCGTAAAGAAAACAGGAACTGAAAGGTGCAGGACGAATAATGTAATATCAACAACCATGTCGTATAAGGATGATGCAAATGGTGTATATACTGACAGTAGTGCGTGACCTTGCACAATAGACCCTAAGCAACTTAAGTAGCATAATCTAAGCTCTACAAAGTTATGTGATGTACTATGAACCGCAAAACTCTTTTATAGCTGTCATTGTGCGGTTCTTTTTAGTTCTTAAGTCACCAACAACCATGGCTTTTTTATCCTGAAGTCAGTAACCCAAAATGAAACATTCGGCTCATTATATGGTAATATTAGCCATGATTAAGACTTATTTGTACGGTAATACTTCGCTATGATTCATAACTGATTGATACACTCAAGAGGGTTATCTAGACCAATAAGTAGCAAAATTTGGGGCTAAATGATATTATATGCATAGTCAATATCCTCCCAAAAGTAGTTTATTGAAACCGTTCAATTGAGACCCCTTTATTCAGAAGTCTGCTCTTCGGTTTATCAAATGTTCCTGGTCCACCACACTTTTGATTCCAGATTTAACTGAGATTAGATGGTGGTTGGAGGTAGTCAACAGGAAACCCTGGACCCGGGTTTCGTGCTACTTGGCACTCGTCAGCAAGGTGTACCTGTAATCTTGAGGGAACTGGTGCTCCCTGGCGGATTCGATCTCGTGTCACCCAGCTTCACAGTCAGAGACGTTACCACTGAGCTATCCGAGCCGTGACTAACCTCCTGTAGGACTGAGATGTAATCACAATTGATTGATCACTGGGTGGTGATCAATCTCATGCTTGTCTAGTCCTTATTAGTGCAGATCGAATGCTATCGATCATGTTGCAATGTGACCACCAGTCTAGGTGACTCGACACTGCGGAATACTAATACTGAGGAATACTAAAGACTTCTTAAGAAACGAGAAAACAAAGGGGATAAGGTTTTTTATCGATTTAAAACAGTATGAAGCAGTTTTTATTGGGAGAAATGAATGCGCGATTCAGGTGAAGTACATTTGTTTATACACATCATTTCGCCTAGATTTCTTGCGGTGGCGATTGGACCTCCTGGGAATGGCGGTATCTTGCAGTATCGGGGAGATGTATGTCTTGAATTCTCTTGAATAACGCTTTCAGAGACGTTAGCAACAAAGAAAGTAGATTTCCATTTTGGTTAAGATGGAGTCGTACATCAAATGATCTTCTAAAATCCTCGGAGCAAAAACTGCTGTCACGTATTTATTCATTTACGATTTTAACCTGTTGACATATAGGAATAAAAAGCGGTGTCGAGGCTTTTTTCGTGCCTATTTTCAATGGCTCCTGCTACATTAGAACCTTTGTTTCCGACGTCATAAATCGGATCAAATATCGCCTACAGGCAAAACCACAGATACAAACCAAGCCATTCCCATTGTATTGGTCCATGGATTTGGTTCTGGATCTGCTCTTTGGTGTAAAAACATTGATGCGTTCGCCTGCTATCGCCCTGTGTATTCACTTGATGTTCTCGGATTCGGACGAAGCTCTCGACCTCCTTTCCCAGTCGACGCCACTGCAGTAGAGGAAAAATGGGTCGAGTCTATTGAGCAGTGGAGATCATCGTTAAACCTGGAGAAGTTTATTTTACTTGGCCATAGTTTGGGTGGTTTCCTAGCTTGTTCTTATGCACTTACTCACTCCAACAGGTAAGCTGTGACTATAAGTCATTTTACCAAACTTTTACTCAGTTTTCGATTTTCCCCTTTATTTAAATCAATAATAGGCCATGTAGTACCTTGTTTTTTGTTACTTTAATACCAAGAGTGTCTCAAATTTCCAGGATCTCATTATACTATAGGAACATTGCAAATAGTGCAACGATAAATAAAAATGTAGGTGATAGTCCCAGCTTTTTCCCTGCTACGAATATCTATTCGTTGCATTTGTGTAATAAGTAATTTGAATCGTAACGTACAAACTCAGTCATTCCAGTTTGTTTGTGTGATTCCAATTATAAGCGGTGAGCAGAACCCCGAATAGGTATGCGATTAGAGAAATGAGTTTACTGTATTCCCCTTAAAAACACGTGAACTCGTACTTTTCGAGTAAGTCATTGTAGTGCAATGAATCATAACACCATGTGTTTTATTATTTATTTAAACACATAAATACTGGTACAAGAGGGCACCAGATACATATGCGCCACACAAATTTCATTTGATTTGTGCGAGGGCTGTGATACTGCCCGGGGACCACACCCGGAGCCTTCGACATAAAGGTCTAATCCCCAAGGCAGTGGAGCATTGTGAAGAGATGCAGTCTCATGGTAGCCGGTGACACGATTGGTTCATACTCCATTTGTTCCCTTATGGTACTGGAGCCCATGTGCACCATTGGTTTAGAATCAGGGTTTTCCAACTCCCTTAGGTGGATCCTCTATATCCACCAACCCGGCTAAAGCGTTAAATATTCGCTTTTCGTCCTCTCGGTTCCGTAAACAACACCCCCGCCACGAGAAGGCGGTGAGTAGGACTTCCCTGGCAGAGGCTATATACGCGTGGCCATATGAGAGCATTTCAAGAAGGAGTGAACTCTCCCAACATTCTGGCCGTACCAGGGGCACACCATGTGTTTAACAAAACTTTGTTTATTGTTGTATCCTAGGTTGTCGGGGTCCCGTTTTTCAAAGATCCAGCCATCATGTATGACTTGCACATTTGATTATGTACAGCTGTTACCGTATTTTAGGACTCGAATGTCAATCAGTTCGTCACAAGCATGAGACATCTGGGATTTCCAAATTTTAAACGGACAGTTATACATCTATCTTTCACGAGAATGTTTCTGTACACGGACTCGTACGAGCTTTCTTGGTTGTTTTCCCAAATGGTTTTGGTTCAGTTGTTAAATATGGAGAGCTTTCAGCTCCCACTTTCGTTTATTAAAGTACATTTGACCATTTCGGTCCTTGTATTTGTAGTCTGCTGGTTTCCATAGACTGGAGAATCAAACTCACAGGACCTAATTTGATCGTCGCATGAAAACTAAATTTATGTAGTGAATCATTGCATCGTAGCCGTATTTAACTAGAACTCCAACCCCTCGAAGAATATAATTATCGTGAGAAAAAACCAGTATACTGAACTATCGGTTGAAGTCCCCAGTCTCCTCATAATCTTAAGAGGTTGCAGTTTTCTTTAAAATCATAACAATTTATGTCAAGTGTTAGTAAATCAAAGCAATATATTTGGGATTGTCTAAGAGTGGGTACACAAAAGCTATTTAAATTATTTGCCGCTTCTGCTATCAAACTTGCAACATCATAACTTTCGTCTCAGTAGTCAGCTTCATAATAAGCAATGTGTTAATGTAACTTAACCAATCAAATACACTTTCAAATGAGTTCATACGGAGTTCTAGTTGATCCCTAGACTATATATTATTTTGCTTACCCACTTCGGTTTCGCAAAAGATTTATCCAAAAGGCATTAATTTCTCTCTTATTACTAGATATTTGCCACACGGCACCAGAGTTAATAATTCGAGTTCAATAACGAACAGCAATTAGAATATGACAGTGAAATAATAATAATAATAATAATAATAATGGGATGGGCAGTTCAGTTAGCAAAAGTATAACCACAAAGAATTCTACCATTTTTTTATGAAGAAAATAAAAGAGAGTCACAGCAGGATCGCTACTGGCTTCTATTCTGAGCCATTTCTGATAACATTTCTAGTCACTGTGTTACACCATCTCTGAGATCCTAACCAAAGAGTCATGAATGACCAACAGAAGTCAGTCCTGCACAACTCTCTTTCATACTACTACTCCATGTCGTCTACCGACCACCTCCGCTTTTTGCAACCAGTCCGAGAGTCGACAAATAGTGCACGACGTGGAATTCTCTGGGATGACATTCGTAAAACATGTCCAAGCTACCGAAGTCGATGTCTCAAGATAGTGACACCAATTGAATTATCATCTCTGTGCCCGAACACACGATGCCGAACCTCTGCATTACTAACATGATGTTGCCACTGGATGGCAGCAATCCTTGGGAGATAACGATGATTAAACACAGAGAGTCGTCTAACATCCTCAACTCGAGGAGGCCAGGTTTCGAAGGCATAGAGCAAAACTGATCTCACCGACGCGTTGTAGACACGACCTTTTACAGCCAGACTGACATCACGAAGGCGCCATAGATGGCCCAGATTGGCATAAGCCGCTCTGGCTTTCATTATACGTGCATTGATCACATCACTCACGCCACCACCAGCACTTATGCAGCTACCCAGGTGGTCGTATGCCTTCACTCTTCCTGAGGTGTTTGTATATGAGGCTTTTAAGATGTTAATAAACTTCTCAGACACACCCTTCTTCAACAGACAATCCCATAGAACAGTCCTGTCTAACAAATTGATGGCGGCCTTGATGTCAAGAGACACTAGGACTGTTGGCTTGTAATAAGTATGACGGTGCTCTGGTATTTGGTGGTGGGTGAAAAGATGATCAAAACAGCCTCGATAAGAACGAAAACCAACCTGCTCTTTGTGAGTCGATCTTTTCTGTTTTAAACAATCTGCGAAGTATGACGGTAGCCAATAGTTTGGACACAATCGGAAGTAGACTTATCCCCCAATAATTGTTGCATAGATTACGTGAACTCCTATTAAAGATAAAGACGACTATCGACTCATTCCACGATATTGGAACACCTTGTAACTACTAGAAATTTTTAAACAACTCAGTCAGTTACTTAACCAGACGGTCGTCACCAGATCAGTTGAGCTGCCCCTCAAAAAATCTGCCCATCGTCCAAGATGTCGGTAGATGTTGGTGATTGACACCCTGTCGTCTTTACAGATTGTTTAACTCACACCAGACGTCTTGCTGGCAGTGACTCGGATGAGTTGAAAGACCTTCCGGTAGTTACCAGATGCAGCTGCTGCTTCCAACCCATTGGCACGCTCCGACCACCAGGCTTCTCGGTTCTTATGCAAGCTATGCACATCTTCATTGCGTGACAATCTTCGTTTGTGGCCAAGCTCGAGGTCACCCAGAGTAGACCGACGGGCTTCAATGAGTTGTAAGGAACCTGAAGAAGCCCAGTGCTTATAAGCGGGACGTTTCTCGAACCCACAACTGACTGTACCCGCCATTTTCATGGTGTCGTGCAATTGCAACTAATGCTCATTTATACTTTCCGGTGGGATGTTAGCTAGCCTTAAACCTAGCTAGGTTTGATATTTAGTTGCAACAAAAGTTGTAACCAATTTGCTGACATCGATTCGTTTAGGACAATTGATTTGTTGGCCAGAGCCACACCAAAGGTAGGTGATCGTGATGTGATCAGAGTCCAGGCTTGAGATGTAGAGCGAAGGCGCCATGTGGCACATCGGCGTTGACTGTGCCGGTAGTTAGTGTTAGCTAAAAACAGGTTGTGATCTGCGCGGAGTTGCGGTAGACGGTCCCTGTTATCTAACCTGTGACCAACAAGTTTCCATCAGCCACCTAAACGACTCTCTTTTGTGTCTAGACACTAGACTTGTACGTTCAAGTCTCCGTCTAGCACTACAATATTTGTCGAGGGAGCTTTCCGGAGATCATTCAACTGGTGGTAAAGTTCACTCTTGATTGCATTCCGGTTGTAATCTGTCGTGGGATAGGCAGAGACTAAGGAAAAACATCTTTTCTTACACCGAATTCTTCTTACTTTGATGGAGCTTTCTAATCTAACAGCACATAACCGACTATTAATGGGATCCAGTGTATTAGTTCTGCCTCAGCTCTAGTGCTTAGTGCGACACCAACGTCCGCATAACCAGACAAAGATGTCACAGGGTCCCCGGATAAACGCACGTAAAACAGGCTTTTCGAAGCGACAGATGGAGAGCTAATTTGTAGTACTTCACTAGTGTTGAATAAAAGTCTTGGATAGACAACAGACATAAATGCTGAGACTTTCTAAAGACACAGTCAACCCCATCTGTTGTCCGATTTGCATTAGTGTGCGAACGTTGAAAAAGGCCATTTTGAATGGTATTAATTCGATCTAAGAAAGATTGGGTCAGTATTCGTAGTCGATGGTAGGATTCAACTTTCGACCAATCAGTGACTCGAGATCGTTTAGATAGAACAGAGTTTCCACCATAGGCAAGCTGTTGTATGAGTTGAAAAATCGCGATACATAAAGTGGGAATAAAAGAGAGTTGATAAGTGTCGTAATATATAAAAAATAAAAATGAATGTGAACTGTCTGAATTTTAATCGAGGCGAGAGTAGTATTTGCAGTAATTATCGTCATTTCATTTTATTTGTGTGTGAGCTGTGATACTGCCTGAGTGGCAAGATCGAAACAGGTGGTTTTCTTAGGAGGCCACACGCGGAGTCTCTGACCACAAGGCAGTGGAGCAACGTCAGGAGATACAGTCACATGGCAGCTGGTGTCCAACGTTTGGTTCATTTGCAATTTGTTCCCTCAGGATCCTGGAGCCCATGTGCACCATTGGTTTAGAATCAGGGTTTTTCATCTCCATCGAGTGGATCTTCCGTACCAACCAATCCGGTTGAAGCGCCGGATGTTCTCTTTTTGTCCTCTCAGTCGTAAACTACACCCCGCCGCGAGAAGGCAGTGAGTAGGAATTCCCTTATAATGTTGGTGTACCGATCACCATGTGAGTGTATTTCGAGAGGGAGAGTGAACTCTCCCCACTTTCGGCCGTACCAGTGCATTTGAGGGCGACGTGAAAGATCCCACATCTTCTAGATCTTTTCCATCAAGTGTGATTGTGTTGGTGTTTTCCGTGCTGTATTTGAGGATCTTACTTTTTCCCTTGTGTATGCTGAGGCCTACTGATGCAGAGGCTGCTGTTACACTAGCTGTCTTTATCTGAATTTGTTGGTGTGTATGGGATAGAAGGGCCCGGTCATCTACTAAGTCCAGATCTTCTAGGTGATTCTGAGATGTCCATTGTATTGCATGCTTTCCCTCAGATGTCGAGGTCTTCATAACCCAATCGACCACCAGAAGAAAGAGGAAGAGAGAGTAAGCAGCCTTGTCTGACACAGGTCCTCTATTGGAATGCGTCTTTCAGCTGTCCACCATGCACAACTTTGCACTGTGGTCTGTCGTATGAATTTTGGATGATGTTGACGATCTTCTCAGGTACACCATAGTGTCGAAGAAGTTTCCACAAAGTCCTCCTATCCACGCTGTCAAATTGTTTCTCATAGCCAATGACTGTTCAACGATGATCCATGGTGTCGCGATTTGGTCTGTTCACGGTCGATCCTTACGCAATCCGACCTGTTGATCCCCACACTGGTCGTCTACTGAATCTTTCATCCGGCTGAGCAATACTCTGTTAAAAACTTTTCCTGGTACAGATAGTAGTGTGATATCTCTATAGTTTTAACATTTGCTCAGATCTCCTTTCTTTGGTATTATGATGAGATGTCCTTCCCTCCAGTCTATCGGTACATGTTCGTCCTCCCAAATCTTTCTAAATAGAACGTGGAGCATGCTTGCAGTTACTTGCATGTCTGAATTCATTGCTTCAGTCGGCATGTTGTTAGGTCCTACTGCTTTCTCACTCTTTGATTTGTCTGATGGCCATGCTGATTTCTTCCGTCATTGGTGGAGTGACATCTATGGGAATGTCTGTGTGTGCTGCTTCCATGTCCGGAGGGTTCAGTGGGGCTGGTCTATTCAAGAGTTCCTCGAAGTATTCCACCCGTCTGTTCTTGAATCTCGGTGATTTGTTTTTCTTCTTTGTCCTTGACTGGTCTCTCTGGTTTACTAAATTTCCCTGCTAGTTTCTTCGTTGTGCCATATGGCCGTGTCATATTCCCTTCTCTTGCAGCTTTTTCCGCTGTCGTTGTTAGGTCTCCCACATATTTCCGCTTGTCGGCCCTAATGCTCCTCTTCACTTGCTTGTTTGCTCTTGTGCATTCAGCTTGTGCCTTGACTTTCTCTGCTCTTATTCGGCTGTTGTTTATTGCAGTCTTTTTGTTCTTCCTTACCTGAATCTTGTCTAGGGTTTCCAAAAAGATCCATTACTTATGATGATGCTTCTTTCGGCTCAGAACCTCCTGACACGTTGAAGTTAATGCTTCTTTGATCCCTTCGCAGTTGTTCTCCACAGTAGTTTCTTCTCATTATTTGAGTAGATCTTGTAGGGCTTGGAACCAATTGTTGAGAATGATCTTGAATTTGTTAGTTTGTCAGTATGTCAAAGGAAGGTTGTATTGAACCTTTGTACTGCTGTTTCTCCAGCTGTCCAGGGTTTCTTTAGTTTCGGTTTCATCTTGGCCACAACTAGGTGGTGATCTGAAGCTGCGTCAGCTCCTCTCCTGGTTCCCACGTGTTCCATTGTCCCTCTGAATTTTTGAGTGAAGCAAATATGATCAATCTGGTTCTCCGTGGCGTGATCCGGTGTGGATCATGTAGCTGTGTGTATGTGTTTGTTTCGTAATATTGTGCCGCCTATAACGATTTTGAAATTCACATAAATTTGCAAATGTCTCACCATTTTTGTTGCTTTCCCACAGTCCATGTCATCCCGTGATATCTTTATATCCAGTGTTGTCCATTCCGACTTTGGCGTTTAGGTTTCCCATTAGGATGGTCAGGTCTTTTCCTGAGCACTTAGCTATGATTGATTGTAGCCTCTCATAGAACTGATCTTTATTGTTGTCGTTGCTTTCTTTGGTGGGTGCACAACACTGGATTTCACTCATAGTGATCCCATTCCTTTTTAGAAGGATGCTTTGGTGATCCTGGATTCATGAGATTCCCATCGTACAGGTGGATTTCTTGCTTCTTTGCACAACATCAGAGCAACTCCTTCAATGTGTGGAGCTATTACCTCTTCGTGACCGGAGTGCAGCAGCATCTCTCCCGTGTCTAGGCTTATCTGTTCAGCTTGGGTCAAATGTGCTTCACTTATTCTGGGCATCGCCAAGTTGTGAGTCGGTTGTAATAAACATAGGGACGCCTAAACCAAGACTTGGCATCAATTCATGAAATAATTAACTGTTGGTAAGTTCAGACTACCTGGTCGAGTTTCACGAGATAGCCGCAATCATCAATTGTAGATGTCGAGTAACAGTTGAGGACCAGTCACACTAGCCCAAATGCACTTACTGTTTATCTTCCTCTAAATCTTGAATTTAAGTTTCCCTTTGGCTTGATTATCGTGATCAGTGGTTAGACACTTTGGATGACATAGCTCACGACCGTTTGCAGTGACGCAAATACATCCACTCTTTGTCTTCCCCGAAATTCTGAGATTCTAAATTTCCTCTTCTTTATTTCACTAATTTCTATTTTCTCGAGTCGTATCTCCAGTCCCAAATCCTTCCTATTACCACTGGTACTGTTACTACCTCTACTTTTTTGAGATTTGGCCCGACAATTTCATCTTTGCGCTAGTGGTTTATGGAGACTTGAAACGATGTACATATGTATCAGGTTCTACGTTGTGACTGACTCATATTCTGTCTTTATACTCTTTAGAACCATATTTCTAATGTTTAGTCGTTCTCATTATCATTAATACTGCTATAATATGAACTCATTCGGTATTAAGCTTGTTAACTTCATTTCTCTGTGCAACTATATGCTAGACTATACAATGGTTATGATTGACTACTAAGTGTTTGTAAGACGTGGTTATTAAATCTAGGGAATACTTTCATAACGTTATCTATCCAAACAGTTAAAAGCACTGAATGAACATAATTCTGCGGATGGAATATTTAAATTACTCAAGAAGATTGTGATGCAGGATGTTTATAGTATATTCCTATTCGTCCATCTCGAACATAAATATTATTAATGAATAAACATATTAGAGAAGTTCACTGAGTTACTATGCTTTGGAATTGATTCATTTCATGAAAGAATTTGTTTCCAATCTGAGTTAAGTAAAATTGCAATAATGCTTCTTTAAACCACCAGTAGGCCAGCTCTACTGACGTTCTTTGCTTCGGACCCACTTATTTTTTTGCTTAATCTTGTTTCTGTTGTCTTTTTTATGTCTGTTTTGAAATATAGAGACTTGGGCTAGTGCACTATTGTTCTAGGTTCGATATTGTATCAGCTTGGAATTTATACGTCGTGAAATACTTTATTGTGTTTATCAAATACTTGAGTGTTGTATGAATAGCATTAAAATAATGGTTTTGCTTACTGAAAATTGTCAATGCTTTTTATTCTTTTTAATTAGGATTGTTCATTTGATCCTAGCAGATCCTTGGGGTTTTGTCGAGGATCCTTTAAAAGTTAAAGATCAGTCGAATGTAGGTGCAGCTCAAGCATGGATATTTTCAACTTTCCGTCAAATATTCCGTCCCTTTAATCCTTTATCCTTTCTTCGTGCTGCCGGGCCTTTCGGGCCTAGCCTTATCCACTATTTCCGTCAGGATCTAAGAGGGTTTTTCGATCAAAGACCCATTCGCGTGGAAGAGGTGAGATATGTTTTCGATAAATTTTGTTATCTAAATAGTTGTTGTTGTCTGTTGGAATAGCGAACTATATGATAGGTATAAAAATGTTTCGAAGAGAAAGTACGTTTATCAGCTTATTGTGAAGACGTAATGGTCCAGCTATGCCCCGTAATTTATAGAATTATAATCATATGTTTCACATACTTGCTAATAATGGGTTAGTAATTTTTGTCTGATAATACTTAAATAAATTGAACAAACTCATTCACCAGGTACTTGATTATGAGCCATACAGAGTGTGAGGTCTCATGATATTACCCGGCTGTCCGAACAGAAGGAAATGGAGCGGGGTTCGAACTTGGAACTTAGTGGCCGAAAGTGGAATAGCTTAAGTACTAAGCCACTACTTCTGTATCTTGTGCAGTTTATTGTATATTAAAATTTAATATATTTCAAGTTGTCTTTAACATGAGTTCATTCAATCTAGAGGAAATTATGGAGATATTTACTATATTAGGTGAAACTATTCGTAGTTGATTGTTAAGTATTTATGGGACTTCAGCAGTGTTGTTTCACAAGCAGTTCAGCCTAAGTCGGTTTTCTCATTAAGACTGCTTGTTTACCAATGGGTATGACTGTCAGGCGTAAAACGTTAAGTAGGGTTAGCAAGTCGATCAATAAGGCCGTTAATTTCCATTGACTGGAGGGATTCCCATCGGTTTTAAGCACTTCCAATCACTGTTAACATCGATATGAAGTGCTCAATCCTAGATGAACAGATTAGAATGAGAACAGAGGTGAGGATATCAAGAGATTCCAACAGTTTTTGAAGCCAAATACTGTCTTCATATGCCGTACATTTTAATCGGGGTGTAAAAGACAACCGTACTCTGTAGTTGGAAACGATAGCTATCACTGTGTTGTTCGTTTGAATCATCCCATTGATGTTTAGGACTGCAATTGATCGTTTTTTTATTGGCATGTATGCATCCTGTGCGGATTGCCTTGGTGTTGCCTTGGGTCACAAGCATTATAAGCAAAGATGTATGATGGCCAGCAGCGGGATCCAGGACGCTCGTCAGCTGGATGTACCTTTATCTCAGAGTTGATGTTCACTGTTCCGAAATATGGTAATGTAGGTAGATTCGCCCGTTAGTTCTGTGAATCGGAAGTTTTAAAATGACCTCTATTTTCAATTTTCCGATTTACTCTAAACTGGATTTCATTATTACTGTACCGTACTGACCTGCATGTGCCTAAGTGCCCGACAGGATCATGGTCAACTGTAGTAACGGATTCAGGGATAGGCTGATTTTTGACATAGCAGGTTCACATCATTTATATAAGCACGATCAATAATTTGCAACATGGGCTAACAGATGAGAAGCTACCCAGGTAGGCCTTTAAATTAGATAAAATCAGCGGAATCGTATAACAGAATATTCATGCCGATATATTAACTACTGAATAAATATGCTTGCATGTTATTGCAGTATTGTGATTTCGCAGTCGTTACAATCCGTACAAAAATGGCGCCTTGTAGAAATTATGACCTTGAAGGACATACACCTAACCGAAACTTCACATTTTTGTGCTAAACTTGTGGTGCTGCTTATGCAACGTAACTGTCTGGGAAGTTTACGACTATCACAAAGTACCTGATGAACGGTGCTCGGTACAAGGGAGGTATGAACTTGAAAAAAGCGTACTTGTTTCAGCCGTAAGGAGAAACGCCATGCTAAGCAATGCAAACGTGATGCTGAAAGAAAGCGAAACAAAAGATCAGGAATACATTCGGACATAAAGGCTGTTTTGAAAGATGCTTTGATGATCCTGAATCCATGAGATTCCGATACTATAAGTGCTTTTCATGTTTCTTTGAAGAACATTAGTGCAACTACCTATATACACGAGACATTTTCTTCTTCATGATCAGAGTACAACAGGACCTCACTCGAAGCTTATCTTTTCTATCCAGCTTGCTTCTAACGGTTTTTGCTTGTTCCAAGCTCCTCCAGGTTCTATCTCATTTCCTCAACAACTTGACTGGTCCTCTCAGTCTCCTACATTGTGGCGACATCCAATGTACCTATGTTAATTGTTGCTCTGATTTTTAGAAAAACAATCGGCCTCGTGACTTCTGAAGAATCTCGGCTTTTATCATAAGGCATCATAACTCTTCTAAATGTTGCCCCTTGTACTTCGTGAGCAGAATTAAAATGATTAAAATGAATTTTTCTGACTGTCGTATCTTAGCAAAGTTCTTTTTCACGGAATGAGATTACTGACCCTAGAAAAAACTCAGGCAGAGTTGTTTTAGTATTAAAAAAATAATAATAATAGTGAACCTGTCAATCATCTACGAAGTTTAAAAAGGCTGATAGGATAGTTATATATACTTCGTTAATAAAAGAACTTTAAAACCTGGAAGCAGATTTTGAACTTGTTTTTATCAGTGTTTATCAATTGTCGGTTGGTTGTTTGTTTATTTTAAGTTTCATAATATAATTGTGATTGGTTTTAGGTTGGGCCTACGGTAATTTGAGAATCGTTTAATGCTAACAAGACTAATGAGAACTTGACAGACTGGACGTCTAAGAAAAACGCTTCAACGGTAATGATCCACGCACCGAATAGAGAAGGGACGTTTTAAGACAACTTTATCTTTCGAACCAAAAATGAAAAATTCAACAACTCCATTTACAAAGTAACACTGATTGACGTTGGGATGCATAAGACAACTAGCAGACTGTAATTAAAAACAACTAATCTGATAACAGTGTAGATCACTACTGAAATATAATTTAGAAAAATGCCATCGAGATTATTCTTTAAGAAAAAAGATAACATGTAAGTAATCTGAGTTCTCCTTAGCAGTTTATACTGGCGAATTGGTAATATGTTACTCGGTTCGACGATTTCGTCTTCAGGCGCTCTCCGTAATCTGAGTGGATTTTTTTATAACTTGCATGAAATTTATGCATCAATGTTAGACACTTTTCTTGTTGTAAATGTCTAGTAAGTAAACGATAATGTGTAATTTTAGATTACAATTCTAATATCCAACATTTTTTAATTCCTAAGATGACAGAAATACCTCGAGCAGAACAACTTGAATCGACCCAGAATTTTTCTTACGATAATCACATTCAGTCAACTAATGGTGAGGATGATGTTTTCAAGCCTCCATCACCGATCCACAGAACGATGAAGACTGGGGAGACCGTCTATGACAAATCAAATTCCAATACAATGGATTCTATTGATTTAAACGATTTGGATGGGTCTGTAGCTTTGGATTACGTCTATCATATTAACTGTCAGCATCCAAGGTACCATTGTCTTAATTACATCTATTGATTTTTTTAGCTGGACTAAACTGTTCACCATCTGATTACTGTTATTTCGCATAAATAAGTTCGTGTTATTCAGGAGTAGAAAGAAAAGTAAATTGTTTAAGGGATTGTAACTATTTTTAACTTTTGTGAGGCTTTTTCAGAGGCTTTTCCTAAATGTTTAATTATGTCAGGATCAGTGGTCGTATGTAGACAATAAAAACCAACTTATCCCGTCAAATGAGAGTGATTTCCCCCCTATTTTCGTGTTAAAGTAACTAGAGGTTCTTTATTTAATTAGATTTTTGGTTTATTTAGCAAGAGTAATTAATTTTGTAGCTGCTGTATTGTAGGCTTTCGCACATTTTTGTGATGAATAGTTTCTTCGACTTATGATGGCTGATTCTCTTAGTCATATATATTATCTGCACGTTGGTATTCTCTTCTCGAATTAATTTGCTGTCCGCAATTGTCTTGACTCTGTATATGCATAAGTCTTCCAGTGCATGTGGGCATTACGCTCTTAAAAGTGATGCACATCATTCTAGTTGGATGAATGAAAATTTATATCTTTGTTTTAGAGGTGATTATCAGTGAATAGAAGGGTGGAAATTCTTATCCAAACGATGTCGTCCCGTGATTAGGCATATGATGAATATGTAGGAAGTCACGAGTCGTGACCCTATTTTCTATAAATGAACAACTATTAAGAGTTTAGGATGTAATCGAGCGAATTTTAAAACCTTTGGTACACTAACCACCAGTTACATCAAGGAATGAAAATAGGCACCATGTTATAGCATGAAAGTAATTATTGTGAAATATGATCTAGCTGTAAGCTATCGTTATTTTAACTAACATCTGAGCAATGACATTTGAAATTCGCCTGTAGATATATGCTAACTATATAAACAGTTCACTGTATGCAGCGAATTTTTATGATCCTGTTTTGTTGATTTTATAAGTAGCTTAGCATACTGTCTTCATGGTCAATGTTTTTATGAAGATCCATATGCTGTTACCACAAACACTGATTCTGCTTTTCATTCGTTCTTGTTATAAGTAACCTTTTAGTTATAATTTTTATGTATAATTATCAGTAAATTGACTATTTATTATTACTGCAAAAACACTTGCATAACATTGCTTTCTGGATTTTCCATTCGATTTCTTGTCTTTCGATATTACTACGATCACATTGTGCTCTATGAATTATTGTTATCTGTGTGGAAAAGGTCTTTAAAATTGTCAGTGATTCAACTTTTAATTACCAAACTGCATAACTCAGAAAACCCCGTATAACAGTATATGATCATTTATAAACTCAACATAACTTCTGTTTTTCATAAAACCTTTCTTTATAATTCTTTGAATTCTAGCGCTATATGGAATTAATTTTCATTTGTCAAAGGATAAACCATAATAGCATATCAAAATGTTTGACATCAAAATTCATTGATTTATACAACCTAGTTTATAATTAAACATAACGTTAATTTTTCAGTTGCTCAATTTTTTTCAAAACAAGCGATACCTTTGTACTCCTTAAATCTCATAGTAACCATCTGTATATCTATATCTATATATATATAATCTTGGTACAGTTTTTGACATGAAATTAACTTTATCACATCACATGTTGTGTCACGTTTAAATAGAAACAAAAAATGTCACATATTACAACGGAAAGTTATTAGGCACAAATAGAACAACTTAACTATGATACCCGGCGTGATTATTATCAAAACCTTTGCTCATTGTTTGCAAATCACATTTAAAAAGTCTGACCCAGTATACCTTCTGTCAAGTAAACGCTTTTAAATTAGCCATTTAAAAAGAATTACTGACAACATACCAGGATTTACTACTTCTGCATTGAAAAATCTCACTAAAAGCAGTTTTTATTCTAGATTTATGTATACATATAGCGGTAATCGCTCATGCTAAATTTTAAATCGTTTAAATGCCTCATGCTAATCAACCGTATAAGAATTTATTAAGTTTTGTTTATTACGCTGTTCATAGACCATGAAATACTTGCGACGATAAAGTATCAAGAAATTCGTTGCAAAAAAACGAAATCACAGTGTCGTAAATGTACGAATCCCTTGGTGACATGGCTCAGAATCGATCACAATGGCGTCGGTGTATACACTCTCTGTCTTCTCTTAAACTAAGAGATTAAGATCACTTCACATCTTTCTTTCTACGAACTAATTCTTTCTTCCTATACTATATCCTTATTGCAATCTTTCTCCTATATATTACCACCTTTGACCTAACCACTCCTATGAATCCAGTGTTCATTTTGCTGTGCTAATGAGGTATGGCAACCTGGGCCGATGCATACATGTGCCTGGTCCTACGTTGTAGCTGACTGACTGACTGACTGAAATGTACGAATCAGGAACTTAAAAATGCACAATTTATGTACGATTACAGTCAAGATGTGAATATCATGTTGTTTTACAAAAATGTGAAACACTGCTACTGATGATGTTACTAATTTTTCTTACTCTGGCATTCTTACTACTAATCTTATCTCACTATGCCTGTGCGATGTGACAATTGGATGCCATTCACATATATTAACCCTGTTTGAGCATGATCTGTCAATCAGGACTCTCCACCCAACACTGTCCTGGGCTCTCCTTTCCAGTTTTTGACAATTGCTGTCCATTATTTCCATGTCTGCCTCCCATTCCCGGCGTAATGTGTTCTATGGTCTGCCTCTTTTCCTTTTGCCGTGATGATTTCAAATTAGGATGTACTTTATAATGCAGTTTATGTTATGGCCTATCCACTTCCAACATCTTTTCCTAATTTTTTCTTTGGTCGGAATCTAGTTTGTTCTCCGGCGCAGTAGGTTGCTGCTGATAGTATCTGGCCAACGGATATGGAGTATTTTATGTTAGCAGCTGTTTATAAATACCTGTACCTTCTTGATGATGGTTGTGGTAGTTCCCCATGTCACAGCTTCGTGTAGTAGAACTGTCTTAGCGTTCGTATTAAAAATTCTGACTTTGATGTTAGCTGACAGTTGTTTTTAAGTCCTAGATGTTCTTCAATTGCAGGAATGCTGTCCTTGGCTTTGCCAATCCTTGCCTTCACATCTGCAGCAGATCTTCCTTGTTTATCAATGCTACTGTTCAGGTAGGTAAAAGTTTCCACCTCTTCCATAGCTTCTCCACCAAATGTGATTAGGTCGCTGCTCGCTGCGTCGTATTCTAGGAACTTGCTTTTTCCTTTGTGTATGTTGAGGCCTAATGCTGGAGAGACTTTCTAAATTAACTGTCTTCGCCCACACTTGTCTGTGTGTATAGGATATATGAACTAGGTCATCTGCGAAGTCCGAATCGTCTAGTTGCGTGAAAACTATCCACTGTTTTGCGTAATTTCTCTGAGCTGTAGAGGTCTTAATGGTCTAATCAACCACTAGAGGAAATAGAAAAGGAAAGAGTAAGCAGCCTTTTCTAACATTGGTCTTCACTTGTAATGCATCTGTGAGCTTCCCTCCATGCATGAATTTGCAGCATCGTTCTTCACAAGAAGTCTGTATGATGGTGACAATCTTCTCAGGTACACCATAGTATCGGGAAACGTTCCACGAGGCTTTCCCATCAACACTGTCAAATGCTTTCTCATAGCCAAAGAGGTTGATGTATAGTGGTGAGTTTTATTCAATTGATTGCTCAACAATGATCCGTAGTGTGGCCATCTCGTCGGTACACGATTGATCCTTACAAAATCCAGCCTGTTGATCTTGATGTTGGACATCTACTGAATCTTTCGTTCGGTTCAACAACACCCTGTTGAAAACTTTTCTGGTACTGACAGTAGTGTGATCCCTCTGTAGTTCTCACAATTGCTCAGATCTCTTCCTTTTGGTATATTGATGAGGTATCCCTCTTCCCAGTCCGCTGGTATTTGTCCCTTCTCCCAGATCTTTCAGAAAATAGTGTGGGCATTTTTGCAGTCTTCAGACTTACGGACTTCAGTGCTTTCATAGATATATTGACTGGAACTGATACTTTCCCAGCCTTTGTTAGTTTGGTGGCCATGCCGATTTATGTTATTGTTGGTTGGGCATCTGCAAGATGGTCTGTCTGTGCTGCTTCAATTTTCGTTGTGTTCAGTGTAGCTGTTCTATTCAGGAGCACTTCAAAGTGCTCTCTCTATCCATTTGTTTTGCTGCTGTTTGGCCTCAGTGATTGATGTTTCTTGTTTGTGACCAATCGGTCGCTGTGATCTATGTTTTTCGCTTGCTTCAGTGTATTACATCGTTACATGGTATTTCTTTCCGTTCCGTGTTATTCTGAATTTTGTTTACTTTTGTTCAATGAATTTCACCTATAATATGAGTGAGCATGCCATATTTTCTCATATATATGGTGTTTTGGGCAGTCCTCTCATTTAACCTCGCTGTTTGAAATACTGATTTGTTGAAAGCAAATAGATTTGCAAATGTCTCACCATTTCCGTTCCTTCCTCACAGTCCATGTCTTCTCGTGACATCTTAATACCCGGTGTTGTCCTTTCCAATTTTGGCGTTTAAATCTCCCATCAGGACGGTTAGGTCCTTTCCGAGACATTCCTCTACAGTCCACTGCAGCCTCTCATAAACTGGTATCTATCGTCTTCATTGCTATCATTGGTGGGCGCATGGCACTGGATAGCATTAATTGTGATCCTCTCCTTTGTTTTGAAGGATGCTTTCATTATCCTGAATCCGTATGATTCCGATCCTAGAATTGCTTTTTGTGCATCTTTATACACGAGACATTGTTTTCTTCATGACCACAGTACAACAGCACCTCTCGCAGTCAATGTACGCTTCCTTGTCAAATAAATTTTAGGAAACGTCCGTCTTTAATTGACTAAAATTAGGCATAATATCTCTAAAAAATGACTTTTGCCCTCCCTATCGCACGATGATGTCGAGGGGTTTTGCATTGTGTAGTGGATTTCATGCTTCTTATGTTATCTGTATAGAGTTATGGAAGTCCATATATTTTAACTCTTCTGATTACAAACTTATATCCTTTATATGTATTATATGAACCCCTTCCTAGGCTCGATATTTTAGTTACTCGAAATTTTGATGAAAGACTCTCATTGTTTCGTATCTTTTCAAACAACATTGTCGTATTCGTGACTAAAAGATCTGTCGCACTAAAAATCATAAGAGAAAATTCGTTTAGGCCTGGTGACTTGCGATTCTGTAAAGGATGAATTTTCTGGGGTGTCCACTTCTTCAGGAGCATTTGTGTTCACTGGCAGGGAAAAGGTCACAATTTTGCCTAAATCGGTGGTACACTGAAACTACATAAAGTTATGGGTGTCTAAATTTTAATAGCTTAAGTACCATCAACCTCACAGTTTGTTTCATTCACATTAGGGTTGTACTTGCTGCTGACCTTATTACAAGTTTTTCTCTGAAAGTAAAGTTAAATCAGTTGACATCTTGGCTCACCGCAATCTAGTTAGTTTTCAAGAAGTTATTAGACTTTTTATGATAAAATAGAACCGTCAGAAGTGGTCAGATCCTGTACATGCACACATCTAAGTTTTGTCTGAACAACTAAACGTTTCATAATTCGCCCTTGTACATTTTTACCATAGATAAATGCAAGTATATATTTGTGTTGTAGTTTCATGCTTCTAGTTGTTCGTTGCTCAAATTCGTATATATTGATTCAATTTTTGAAAGGTAATTTCATGCATGCATTGTCCACTTTTGTACTGTCAGATGTGGTCTTTTCTGGATTAGGGGAAAATTAATATTACGAATTGTGGTGTTAATAATAATGAACCGAAAAGCGACTTATTTCGTATTCTGTGATTACTTAAGTAAGTTTTTTGTCTGGGGATTTATATGGTGATATATTAGTAGATTGTTTTATTATTTTTCCTAATTTTACGTTCATTGTGTTGTGCATGAACTCGAAAAATCACATAATGTTTTATCGAATTATTTTTTTGTTCCCATTATTCAACCCTGCGGACACTAGAGAGTTTGTCCAGGTGAGTTCTAAACGACGGCATCGTCACCTCAAGGCCAACTCTTCTGCTCATTTCCTTACACGAAATCTTTTGTCTTGATGAATATGTCAATAATTGTTACAACCTAAGACAAGACGAATTCTTATCAGCTGATTCGTTTTCCTTTCATTAAACGTGTACTAGTCATATTTTCGTCTCATAAGAATGGTATTTACAAAAAAAAGCGGTTTATAAATATAGATTAAGAAGTAATATCTACTTTTTATAACAGTTTATCATTCTTATCATGCTATTTCATTCTAATTCTGCTTTTATTATTGAGAATACAATTTTCATTTAAGCGGTGAAACAGGATTCAAGTCATTATGTAGTTCAGTTGGATGGCCTCAACGCCCAATGTTAGACAGAATTAGTCAACTCGATCCCAATGTTCCTGTCACCTTTATATATGGTTCTCGATCATGGATGGATTTATCATCAGGATATAGAACTCGTGTATTACTTCCTAATTCGTACGTAGATGTAAAGGTATGTAGCCACCTCGTCATTTTTCCTTCACAAATAATCTTGACCACACACACACCAAAGTGTTTGATCAAATACATTATCCTCTGATTATTAACACCCAGTTTGTATTTTAGTGGCTCTTTGATCTGACTCCAATTCGAACGAATAAATATGCTTTCGTTTAATTCTGTATACTTCACGTAGCCTAACCCCGTTTGTACGATGGTAATAAAAAGCCAAATGCGAATTCTGTTGAATCGGTTTATTTCACTGCAATCGTCTGTGCAGGCAAACCAAAGTGAAGTGGAGACGACAAGTGAGCCAACTCGCCCATACTACTCATTACAAGAGTTAATATAGCTCAAAATAGATTATATGTAATGTGACAAAGAGATAGGCTTTGGACAAAATAATGAGTGACGGACATACACACAATGCTCATAAGCGCAGAATCAGGACATGAATATAAAACGATTTCCTATGAAAATAGTAAGGTTATTATGATGGTAATAATGACTCAATAGTCACATGCTGTCTGAGTTGTTGTTTGTCTATGAGCTAGAATGAATCATGTTAGTGCATAGTTGTACTAAACACCACAGTACAAATTCCATTTTTGCTTTCAAATGAGTTCCCACTGTTCCATGAATCATAAAAGGCGGCTGTGGCTAGTACAATGTGTCTGATTAGATGAAGTATTCCAGTATTCTTACCTAATAAAATTTTAGTTTTTTTACTTATTTACAATTTCAAATTATACCCTACGATCATAAGCACTGTGCCTTTGCTTAAACCCATAATTAATCCCACTGCACTATATTAATAATACTGACTTGTTTTTGATGCCTTAATATTTTATGTAAAGCCAAGATTATTTTAATGTCAATAACTTTGAGGTTATCTTGGTATCCAATTTTTGTTAGGCAGGTAAATTGAACAGTAAGTTCTTTAAAGTAGCTACTACTGCCTACGCTAATTAATTGTCTGTTATAAAAGCCTCTAATTAACAAATTTTGTTTCGAATTGTTGAGCTTATTCTGTGCATAAATCTATTAAAAAAAAAATAAGCTATACTAACTGTATCATGGAAAACCTGCTGACTGATCTCATTTGTTGGATTGTTGTTTATAATAAACTATTTTTGAGACCTTTTTATATTTTCTTCATCACATGGTACGTAATACTAAAATACCGACAGAAATTCAATATAACCTAGTTGTTATAACATTAGTGAGAGTTTCATATAATCGTATGATATCACTTGGTCATTTCTCGCTTAGACAACTGAATTCTGTGGTTATGGGAGTTTAACGTACGAATTAGCGGCTGTATCGCATTTCTTGCATCATATGAAATCCTCTCCTAATTGTCTTCATCAGATCAAGGGTACGATAGATATAAAACTAACTAATCTGGGTTATGAAAGTGTAAATCGACCGTTGATGCTACCTTGACGTGGTGGTCGGGTTTGCCTATTGTGACGAACCAACCGTGCTATACTGGTTGGAACAACCGTTCCTCAAGGTCCTACCATGCCAGACAGGTCAGTTGAAGAGCGGTAAGACTAAAAGCAACAAACCGAAGGCGAAGTCGTATTGCTGACTATAAAGAGGTGTGACGGCAGTGAGGTGTTTCCTTCAGAAAACCAGCATGACAGTGATGCTGCCTCCCCACAAGGAGGGGTGGGGTTAGGGAAGGTCGACCCTAAAAATGTCACACCTCACTTTATACCACGAATATCCGTCCACGGCGGTAAGGTCTCAACAAGTACGGAGCTAACACAAAAATTACCCACAAAAAGGTCGTGTGTGACCGACCTCAAGCAGCTGTCCCTTGGGCACTGCAGTCGCGCTCTCAGGTCAATATGACCACCTCTAATCCAATTTCCTTTCCAGGTACCTCCAGAAGAACCCTTCTATGGTGTGGGCAACGGGGAAGTGATAAACGCCCTCATACCTCTAACAGCACTCAGGACTACTGTATTCATAATCAACCTTCCTCTTGAATTCCTATTATTCCTCCTACATCGAATTTCAACTCTAAACTTCCTCTTTCGGCTTCCTCCTCAAGTGTCACCATAGCCAACGATTCTAGTGCATAGCAATAAGTACGAGAGCAGGTGTTGCTTCGAAAGATATACAAGCAGCTGTGGAAACAGCAGTGACATCTATTAGTGATTTAAACCACAGGGTTACAAAGTACCGATGGGTTTCTTCAAGGTCTATTGCACTGATGGGTTCCCGTAAACTCATGCCATCAGACTCTGAACACGATGAAGAGCGAAAAGAAATCAGATCTAGATTAAGCGAAAGTATAAGGAACGACCGTGAGCAGTGGTGGGCAACGAAAGCAGAAGAGATGGAAAAGGCGGCGGCTATAGGGAACACAAGACAGCTCTACAGACTAATAAAAGAAACTGAAATTAATAAGTCAAGTGTAAGTCAGACTATTTCGGAAAAAGACGACACTCATCTGCTCACAGTCCAGACGTTTAAAACGGTGGGCGGGACATTTTAGAGAACAGTTCAGCTGGCCTTCAGCTACTCTACAACTACCCTCCATTCCCAGACAGTGTGAATGGAACATTGAAGTAGGTCCCCCAACTGTAGCTGAAGTTCAAAAGGCTATGGTTAATCTGAAACGAGGAAGGGCAGCTGGTCCAGATGGATTAGCTCCAGAGGTCTTTAAGGATGGTGGTCCAATTTTAGCGATTAGGTTTACTAATATTTTAGCTAAAATCTGGGAGTTGGACGTTATCCCATCTGACTGGTCACAGTCACTTATCGTCCCAATATATAAGAGAGGGTCAAAATCATCCTGTGACAACCATAGAGGGATTAGTTTAACTAATATAGCATCTAAAATACTAGCCTCGATAATGATCGGACGCCTAACTAAGACTCGTGAACTGCAAACACGAGAAAATCAGGCTGGCTTCAGATCTGGTCGTGGTCGCATCGATCAAATAGTCACCATTCATCAGGTTCTCGAACACAGGCATACTTATCGGCGTCCGACAATGGTGGTCTTTCTTGACTTAGAAGCGGCATTTGACTCTGTGAAGCGAGAGGTGCTGTGGCAGTGTCTGTCATTAAATGGCGTACCTCAGAATTACATAAACCTTGTGAAGGCTCTTCACTCGAACACTACTAGTCGAGTTAGAGCTTATGGCGAACTGTCATCTGCTTTTGCAACTTTAAGTGGTGTCTGTCAAAGCTGTCCACTTTCTCCATTTCTGTTTAACTTCATCATAGATCTGCTGGTGGAAATAACGCTCTCATCGACTGAATTCTTGGGCATTGATCTCCTACCAGGAGGTCCGCTTATTGACTTAGAATACGCAGATGACATAGTCCTGTTTGGTGAAGAAGCTGATAAATTGCAGAGTCTTTTAATAGCACTGAGCAACAATGCCAGAATGTTTGGAATGCGCTTCTCCCTCTCTAATTGCAATTTGTTGCTTCAGGACTGGTATGCGTCAACACCTGAACTAAGGAGTAGTCGAACGCGTTGACAACTTCACTTATCTTGAAAGTCTGATCAACCCTAATGGGTTGGTGTTTGACGAAAGCTCTGCACGGATTCAGAAAGCTCGTTTGGCTTTTGCCAACTTATATCACCTATGGCGAAGGCGAGATATCCGTCTATCAATAAAAGGACGAGTATACTGCGCGGCAGTTCGTTCTGTTCTACTTTACGGCTGCGAAATATGGCCATTAAGGTTTGAAGATACTCATAGGTTACAAGTGTTTGACCACAGATGCCTTAGAAATATTACCCACATCTGCTGGGATGACCGGGTAAGTAATAGTGAAGTTAAACACTGGGTATTAGGGAATGATGGTAAATCGGTTGATGAGGTGAATATTCATCGACTGAGACGCGTGGGCCACGTGTTGCGTATGCCTGAACACCGATTACCACGACGCGCAATGCTAACCGATGTTGGGGATGGTTGGAAGAAAGTTAGGGGCGGTCAAACCAAAACGTGGCATCAGTGCTTGAAGCCATTAACTTCTGTTCTGAGCCATGTTTGTAGAAACAGACTACTTGGTTGGGGTCCGCGTGACTATCGTAACCAATGGTTGGAGACTGTGGGTGACATGGCTCAGAATCGATCACAATGGCGTAGGTGTATACACTCTCTATCTTCCTTTAAACTATGAGATTAAAATCGCTTCATATCTTTCTTTCTACGTACTAAATCTTTCTTCCTGTACTATATCCTTATATGCAATTTTTCTTTTATATATTACCACCACTGAATGAACCACTTCTATGAATCCGGTGTCCATCTTGTTGTGCTAATGGGATATGGCAACTTGGACTGATGAATATATGTGCTTGATCCTACGTTGTAGCTGACTGACTAAATCGTCAACCACAGAAGCCGAATTTCACGTGCCCTGATCAGTAAATCATTTCCCCAAACAGAATAACGTCGTTTAGCAATATATTAGAAGCATATATAAGTACTAATGCATAGTGATATAAGTGTAATAAAACTGAATCTATGTAATCGACACCTTTTGGTATATGACAAAGTTAAATTGTTTTATGAATAAATAAATAAGTCTATTTCGAAGAGATGTCGCTTTTGGTTCACGAAATAATTCTAAAGCAATAGAAAATCGATCAATGTATAGAAACTAATACTTTGAGTTGTCCCCCTAGAGATCAACTATGGTTACGTAACATTTTGTAAGGAAGTGATATGAAGTGAACTTTATTGGATGTAATTAGTTTGCACGTGGCGAAAGAGGTCATGTGTAATGTTTTGGATTAGGTTGAAATCCGATTTTGTGTTTTTGGAATTTCATGTAAGCACACACCATAAAGAGAGACTGCATAATGTACGTCTTCATTTGAGCTATTACAAGAAACATAACCTATTACGGTTTCTTTCTATCACCCACTTTTGGAGTGGATAATCAAGTATGGTTATAATCACTATGGCATAAACATGTCTAATACCTAGTCGAATACTTATATATTATGTAAACTATTCTGCCTATAAATCT